CAACTTAAACCGTGAAGGGGAGTCGTCTCACCTGACTTTCTCGTGAATGGAGTCATCTAAAGAATTATGACCGGCTTAGACCCGCGAAGAGGAGACGTCCTTCATTTAGAGGAACCGTTCACAACATAGCTCAAGGCGAGAAGGGTTATCTGTCAACGAAAAATTTTGAGTTCGATTTCATTCAGCTTGTGGGTGTATCAACCACATGGTAGCAGCGAGGAACTACTTTCTGGTTGAATTTTAAATCGAGCTCTTTAAGCCAAGAATAAGACCTAGGTTGGCTGCGATTTAGCAATAAGGAACTATCTCCCAACCTAATTTACAACATAGCTTAAGTCGAGAAAAGTTTCCTATCAATGAAACTTTCGAGTTCGATTCTATTCAGCTCGAGGGCGTATCAACCATATGGTAGTAGCAAGGAACTACTTTTTAGTTAAATTTTAAACCGAGGTCTTTAAGGCAAGAAGAATACCAAGGTTGACTACGACTTGGAAATAAGAAGCCACTTTCCAGTTTAGATTTCAACTTCACAGCAAAGGATATCATGCTCGAAACATCCAAGATTGACTCAAATTCACGACAGAGGAGTCACCCATGATTTTGACTTCACAACAAAGGACATCGTGCCCAAGGCATTCGAGATCGACTCAACTTCACAGCGAATGAGTCATCCACAACATAGTTCAACTCAACGACGAACTAGGTCGTCTAGTCAAATCTCAACTTCACTACGAATGAGTTATCCGTAACTCAACTCAATAACAGGGAGCCATCTTCTATTTTCAAGTCAAATTTCAACTCCGCGACAGAGGATATTCGATAAAAATAGTCGACTAAAATACTGAGTCGGATTTCAAACTCAGAGATCGATGACACTTAAAGGAACAAGCTTGCTTTCAAAATCCACTTGTACCGAACAAAAATTTGTCTTTCTGTCTTTGCCCTATTTTCGTTACACAATAATGGGCAAAGAGGGGCAACTGTAGACACCCATTTTCGTCCGGGACTTCAAGGGACTTTATTACATTATATAGTATATATGATAATATACATATATATATATATATATATATATATATATATATATATATATAATTTCAAAAATAAATAATATATATAGTTTTTGAAGTTATATAGTATAGTTTTTGAAAACATATAATATATAGTTTTTTAAAATGGTTTTTTAAAAACATATATAATATAGTTATTTTGAAAACATATATATATATATAGTTTTTTAAAACGGTTTTTGAAAACGTCTATAGTATGTATAATCTTTGAAAACATATTATATTGTTTGTGAAATATATTATATATTATATAGTTTTAATACATACATATTATTAATATTAATATTTTATTTTCCATTTTTTATCTTTTGTTTTATTTCATTTAATTATTTTCAGGTCCAAATCCAGGTCCAACAAGGGTATAAGGGACCCAACTGGGTAGCCTGACTCAGCAAGCTCGACAAGTCCCAACCGAAGCAGGACTTATCTAACCCAGGACCCGAGCCCATCTGCTTGACTCATCGGGGGCTAGGGTTCAATGTTTTAGCACTATCGCCACATAACCAGGACCGTTGGATTTGGCCTTTTGATCCAATGGCCAAGAGGCATCAGGTTAATGTTTCAAGTGACGCATGAAGGCCACGAGCCAGTGTAGTTACCAATCGGCCGAAATCCTCGACTGGAAAATCACAATAATGGAACAACAACCCATATGAACTCAGTCAGACAAATTTCCAATAAAAACCCCATAATTTTTGGGACCACAACGACCGAATCCAAAGCTATAAAAGCCTCTTGTGGAGCGTCGAACAACACACAATAACCACATCGAAAAATAGTATATCCACAGCAAGCAAAGAAAGCATCGAATAAAAAAAACGAAGCAACAAATAGCAAAATCGTAGAACGGCCAAAATGAAGCATCACATAGCAAAAAGTGAAGCAATCAATTAAATAGAAGTCGTAAATAACCAAGGAATATCACAATAAAATCAAGGCTAGCATCGGCTTGGAGGAGGATCGGGCACTGGAACATGAAGGGTCGCCAAACATAAGGTAAAATTTTGAGACGTTGTGTTTAGATCTAAACCGGTAGGCTTATTTTTTGGGTGTTTGGAATTCGGCTTTGGGTTCACAGGGGTGAAAAATAACTTTTGGGTTTTCGGCGGCCGGAACGGCAGTCAAGCGACGGGTTTGTGGCCAGAGAGTGACCGATTATAGGGCGAACGATTTTTAAGGGAGAGAGCTTGAGAGGATTTTGAGAGTGAGGGAGTTTTTTTTTGAAATAAGGGGAGAAATGATTTTTGTGTGGATTTGAGGGTATTTATAGGGAGGGTTATTGAGTAAATAGTAAATAGTAAATAGTTTAATTATTTTTGCAGTCCCTCGAATCCTGAAGTGTAATTTATTTTGGTCACCTATTGTAAATTTGCCCTCGAGTTTTGAATTTCCTGCTTATATTTTTTATATTTTGTAAATTGACCCCTCTAACTTTGATTTTTCTCCTTGCAATATCCAATTTGACTTTTAACTTCTCATGTTTTCCAATTTAACCCTTTTTTATTTTCTTTTAATTTAATATTTTTATTTTAACCCTAGTATTAATTCTTTTCAATTTTATTTTATTTTAATCCTAATTTAAATTCTTTTTCCCTTTTTAAATTTTTTTGAATTCTTTTATTTTAATATCCTTTTTGTTTATTTTATTTTATTACTTAACATTAATTTGACTTTTTAGGGATAATTTTAATTGGTCAAAGGTAAATAATTCGGATCAAATTTTAAATTTTAATTGAACTTTTAATTTTCGCAATTAAGACAATCGAAAAATTAAATTGGTATCGAAAAGATAATACAAGGGTGCTAATTCTTCATTGACTGTAATCGACTCCTAAATCCGATTAATTTATGGTAAAACGCAGATCAGGTAAATGGTAGGTCAATGTGTCCTATCAACCTAATTTTAAATGATCGGTGACGACTCTAACACATCAAAATTAAGTCGAAATCCGATTCCGATCCCACCCGAAGGACAATTACAACAATAATGATTTCATATATCCTATTATTATAATTGTTTGTGCTACCTTATGCGTAGTGATTCTAGATATCATATTATATTGTTTATAACACAAAATACATAGTAGTCCTAAGTATTTTAGTATACTTGCATCACATAAAGTATAACAGAGCAGAAGTATATTATTATACTTCTAAAGTTTAATGTTCGAATATTTCCGTATACATGTCAAATAGTGTAGTTCATTATGGGAAAACAACATTATCAGAGTGATCTTACTGGGATTGTCCAAGTATAATAAATAATTACTTTATTGGATTGTATTTGTATTTTGTATACATTGTTTTAGAAATAAATGAGCTCCAAGTTGTTTATAATTGTTTTAACTTAAATACTTTATATTTTTGTTTAAAAATATATGGATCACTCTGGTAGCCTCATGCAACACTCATAAACTTATTGAATATTGTTCATCGAATTTATGGAGTTACAATAAAGACTAAAATGATAGAGTTGTTAAATATTAAAGATTAAATTTATGAATTATTTTGGATTAGGATTAAATTGATAAGCTATACAAGTTATAAGGACTAAAACTATTACTATATCAAACCACATCACTATTTTATCTATTATTTAATGACAAAATAAACTGTTTGTAATAATAATTTAGTTGAGAGAAATATTTGTAACTTAAAAAATAACATGTTTATTGCTAAATTCATTGTTCAATCTGACAACGCTCAAGCCATTCGTTTGCTAAACGAGAGAGACTTAACTGTAGTCACCTCCCCTTGGTTCGAACTATCAGCAGCTTCCAAAGGCGAGAGTGGGAGATCAAATTTTAGTTGATTTCCATGACTGGGAGCAAAGTCGATGACCAGCTTGCCAAGCTTGCCCCAGTGGATCACTTTCGACTGATACAACTTACCTCTTCGCCAGATGGGAGCATAGCCCTGCTGGATCATCCTAGTTGTACTGCTGCTGAGGCAGTGTTTTAGCCTTATGTTATAGGCTTTCTTTGGATTAAAAAAAAAGTAATATTGAGTGAAGCTGTCGTATTCTTATTTATTCAGTGGCGTGGATTTGACGCTGGAATATAATAAAACAACAAATTCATTGACTTTTCGTATTTTGACTTTTAAGAGCAATATTTAGTATTCTGATGTAAATCCTAACCTCAAATAATAGGAACAAAGGTACCCCTCGGGATTGGAAATCATACGATCCCATTGAATCCTGACCGTACTTTTTATCCCAGACAACCAAAAAAAAAAGAAAAGGCAATTCCATCGACGCCTAAGAGTCCCCGTTTTTGAAATAAATTTATGTCCTCGTCCCGTGTTCCGTCGGATTTTTTATCCGGACGTATCGTTGGAGATCTTTTTGTCCCGTCTTCAAACCCGACCTGATCCTAAGAACCCAAATCCGATCAGATTTTGAGAAAAAATCGAACAATTGTAGTTTTCATAAAAAAATAGAAAAACGATCAAAAAAAATTAAAAAATTAGTCTACATAATTTACAATTCAAACTACAATCACAAATTCAAACCCAAATCTAAATAATTGTCTAAACTCCAAAATAAAACACATACATAATTAAATACAAACTTATTTCGATATTCAAATCATACAACGAATATGAATACGTAATATTAAGTCAAATAAAATTATTCAAAATCGTCGTGTCATTTTTATCACTTTCTTTAGTAGTTTCCTACATTAAGAAATTTATAAAAAAATCAATAAAATTTCACTTTAATAATTATAAAAACTAAGGTTTAAGGTTTAAATGTTTAGAGATTATGGTTTTTATTATATAATTAATATAAAAAATATATAATATTATATATAAATAATCGGGGCGGAACGAGATATTTTGCCTTGAATCCAAACTCAAAAAAATTCTTGAATTTTATCCTGATACCCAACCGATGTTATTCAAACCAGACCCGATTAAAACTTAATTGGTTTTTGATTTCCTGTTGGATTCGAGTCGTTCTGCTATCCTTAGCTTCAGCCCTTTTCTCTCTCTATTATTATTATAAAATCAAACAATTATTTGAAGAAAGAGAAAGAGAGAACAACTCGGCGAGGGTTTTAGAGAGATAAAGAGGCAGCGGGAGTGTCAAAGGCAAGAGATAGAGAGCGATGTCGGGAGGAATAGCGCGTGGTCGACTCTCGGAGGAACGGAAGGCATGGAGGAAGAACCATCCCCATGTCTGCATTTTTTCTCCCTGTTTCTTGTTCTTTTGGAGTTTTCATATTCTTGTTTTCTTAATTGTTTGTTGTTGTAATTTTAGGGTTTTGTTGCGAAACCTGAGACGTTGCCCGATGGAACGGTGAATTTGATGGTGTGGAATTGCACAATCCCTGGTAAAGCAGGGGTAAGTAAAATAATTTCTGATTTTTTATTATTGTCGGTAAAGTAAAGGGATTCTGTTTATTGAGTTTGGTTTGTCGGTAAATTAGAGGGTGACTAAAAAAAGAGAAAGACAGGTGGAGCTTCTAATTGTTGTAATTGAAACATAAGTTTGATGTGATTAATTGCGTTAAAACATGGAGTGGCCAAGATGTTGATGATTCTGGATTAAATTGGTTGAGTAGTTTATTTCCCCATAGGATAATAGGAGTATTTCCTTCCCTTGTAATGCTTATTATATATATGTGTGTGTGTGTAGCTCACATTCAGAATGCCGAAGCAAAGCTAAAACAAGTTTTTTAGGAGGTTGTGTAATACACTACGTGTCAGTGAATATTATGAAAATTATTATTGATGGGAATGCTGGTGGCTATTCGAGTCTGTGGCTGACAGTTTAAACTAAATGTTTATTGATAGATTTTTGGATATTATGGAAGCAAGTTTTTGTTCTATTTAAACAATCTTTTATTGTTGGTTGGCACTTGTTAGGGGTTACTATATGTATGTTGATATTTTATTTTTTTTATAAGAATTTTAGGCCTCTTTAAAAACCACCCTCTTGATTAATGGAACTAGTAGGGTAGCTCCGTAATTAGCGGAAGGAGGAAAAGAGTGCCTTAGGATTTTATTGAACATAAGAAATTACATAGATACAACCTGGTAAACACCCTTAACAGAAACATATAAACAGGGAACAACCCTAAACCACCCATAAACTACAATCATAGTTCAACCAGTTTGTCCTATTAACCCACCTAACAACACCTTCTAATACAATAAAAACCAACATTTACAACCAAATACTAAGATAGACGCCTCTGAATACAGCTTCGAGCCATTAAGAACTAACTGAGGGAACAAGTTCTAGTGAGATATCGCAATCTTCGGGGACCCAAGAATTAGGTTTGAAGGAAGGATCTACTTCGTGCACCAAGATTTTGAACAAATTTTCTCCGACCTTCAACTCCATCAACTCATCAATTCTCCCTTGAGCCTTTGTGAGTATTTGAAATTTAGCCCGATCAAAAGACGATGGAAACTCACAACTGTTTTCAATTGCTACGAATTTGCCTCACTTAGTTGCAATGTTTTTTAAAGTATTCCAATTCCAAGCGTGAAAAGGAATACCTTCGCAAACTAACCAGATGCGACGACACTCCACCACTAGGCTCTCTGACCAAGTTTCCACTCTGGAAAACCATTCTGTAAGAGTCTCTAGTTTCTCATCCTTCACGATTCTCAACGAATCGGAGTCTTCAAAAACCATTAGAACCGCATTTCCAGCAGCTCTCATAGGCGTGAAGCTAGCTAGTCCTTTGGCTTGAATTTGGTTAGCAAGATTACCAATTTTGATAAAATTCCTGTACCACCCCACAAGACAATTACTCAACACGTGTAGCTTGTCTTCGTCCACTATGCTCTCAACTTCAAAGAGTTTATTCCTAGAAATATCCTCCATCCTAGACTTTAGGTGACCACCTGTCGAGGACTTTTTCCAGTAGGACTGTTGGGGTTTATATTTAGCCAAAGAGACTCTAACTTTGCTGCCGTAGATATGCTTACCATTCATCTTTAAAATCGCCATCCTGGCCCTTAGTTGTCGCATAGCGAATAAACCCAAAACGAAACCCTTTCGAGTTTGCTTTTAGGAATGAAGGCGTCAATAACTTAACCGTGTATGCCAAATATAGACCCAAGTCTCTTCCAATTGATCGTCTCTAGAAGGTTTTCGATAAAAATCGTGAAACAACCATTTCTGGACCCATTTCCGATTCTAGGTTGGTCTTCCTTCGAGGAATTATAAACCCCATTTCTTCTCCTTCTCGATATTTCGGAAAACTTTTCATTGGAGTGCCCTATCGTGGTGCTCTCCTTGGTTCCAACAAGATCGATATCAGCGATAGGAAGAGCTGGTATTGCTTGTATTGCTGAAATCTCTCCGACCTTATGTTTCCCTCCTGACGTCCCTGTATGCGTTCCCAAAGTTTGCTGATTTTGGGGCAAAGGAGATTGTCTGTACGTAGTGCTGTCGGGCTCTACAGTCCAACCAGCCTCACGGGCCAAAACAACCAATACATCATTCATAGCAGCATTCGGGGGAAGAGGGAAATTACCGTAATGCCTCAATCCGGCCAGCATACGTCTGGTGAAAACTCGCCTGTGTCATTTCCTAGTCTTTGTCCTCTCCTTTGCCATCTCCATTGCACTTTTTTCCTTACCGGAATAAGATGAAATGGATGCACCAACGAGTCCAGATGTGTTGAAAAGCCTCCCTCGTGTTAGTGCCTTCTCCAACATTTTTAGTTCCTGTTCCCTTTTCTTCAAATTAGACACTTGAGCTCTAAGTTCCTTCACTCTCGCTTCTAATTCCTTGGCAGAATCAAGAGAAATATCACCATAAGCACCACGGAAATAAGGTTCAAGAGGGAGTAGAGAAAATCTTGACGTTGAAGGAGGAACTGTAGAGTGACTCGCATAGGAAGCAACCACCGCGGATGAAGCAGCAACCCTTCAAGGAATCCTGGGCTGAGACGGGGGTAGGGGTTCCATGGTGGGGTCTGGGAATAAACAGGAAGGAGGAAATGGGATGTATACTGCCGACCCCGTTTACTGGAAATAAATGGAGAATAGAAAAGATACTCGACACTTGGATAGGGGATTCTGGTCACGAGAAGACGCTGAGTCCAGAGGTGCGGCGGTGATGAGCACGAACGACGAGAAGCGGCTAAAAACGGTAGAGGACTTCGTCAAGATCTGCGTTGATTGAATGATTCAATCACAAATCTAAGGCCAGATTCGATATCACCATGGGCCGGCGATCATCCCAGTAAAAAAACGGCGTCTAAACGGTGGTCGGAATGTGACGGCGGCGGTGGCAGCGGTTGGCGGTTGGCAGCGGCGGACAACGGGTTGCTGACGGGGGAGAGAATAGAACTAAAACACCTGGGCTCGTGAAGATTCAAATAATAACGAGCTTTACATGATTTTATCAATATTGTTTGGAACAATGACTCGTAGACTGTGGGAGCCTGACAGTCTACTGTCATTATTCAGATTCTCACAACTTAGTATCGTTATCCTCATTTTAATGGGTTCTTGTATAATTATTTGGCATTTTATAGGACCTGGACAACTGATCTGTTTTTGTTAGTTAATTTAAACAAATCACATTCATTTTCATCTCTTCTGCTCTCCCCCTAGTCTGAGCTTCTCTGTTAATCTTACAGTTCTATGACCATTCTATTTCAGGAGTTGTAGTAATTGCTGAAGATCTAGCTTTCTCTCTCTCTTGATTGGATCAGTACACAAGCATACAAAGACTTGTTTAATATGAATTGCCCATGACCACAGTCCATTTTGTCTATTATTATTGTCTGTTATTATTTGGCAGTTAAACATGGTTTCAGGTTCATATTTAGCAATTAAACTGGTGTGTGATGTTGGTGAGAATTAGGCCTCATTCATCATCATCATTATTCCATGATTCATTTTCCTGAAATTCATCCCCTTCTGGTGACCAAAAAAGATCTCCTAGCCTTAGAAAATGAATCATTATTTAAAGCATGAGCAGTAATTTTAGATATTGCTTGGAGAGAGCGAGGAATTTAGTAGCTCATCGCTTGCTTCTTAAGGCATTGATGGTTTCAACAAGTAGCATGTCACTTCCAACAGCCTTTATAGAATTTAAAGTCTTTGAGGTACTTTGACTATTTATAAGTTGCAGAGTGAGAACTAACAAGTTTTGGCTGCAAGTTTTAGATTTGCCTTGCAGCATTGGTGGTTGTAATGTTGCTTAAAGAGTGACGGCCTTGTGATATTGGTTTTGATCTTGTAATGATTTTGCACCTATGAAATTGTTTTGGTTGTTGGTTTCCTTAATCGCCTTTGTATATTAATTTTCTTGTATGATGTTTGCAGCTTTTAGGTGATTCCCCTCTATATTACTTTTGCCCATCTCATTTTACATTTGGTCATTACTATTCACTATTCATGTCTTGTTCTTTATATACATGGACAAGTGAGGGTGTGGTGTCTGGATGCTTGCATTTTCATCTGGAGCATTTTTGTTTATGTTGTCAAAATGCTTCATTTTTCTTGAACACATTGATTAGAAAGTTAAATATTTGATTAAGAGACTCATGAGAGTGTACATGGCAATATGGGGTAAAGAGAAAGGAATATTGAAAGAACGAAAATGTGCAGTTTTGAATCAATTGTAGCCTGTGTTTCTTTTAAATTTTGGATATGTTTAACTCAATCCATGTTACAGACTGATTGGGAGGGTGGATACTTTCCACTGACACTCCATTTCAGTGAAGATTATCCTAGCAAGCCTCCAAAGTGTAAATTTCCCCAAGGTTTTTTCCACCCGAATGTTTATCCATCTGGTACTGTTTGCCTTTCAATTCTGAATGAGGATAGTGTAAGCATTTTCTTCTCCAGAGTATGGTTTACGTGTGTCCATCTGCCCAGACTGACATTTTTGGCCATTCTTGGGTTGTTCATAGGGTTGGAGACCAGCCATAACTGTGAAGCAGATTCTTGTCGGAATCCAAGATCTTCTGGATGCTCCAAATCCTGCTGATCCTGCTCAAACTGAAGGATATCACCTTTTCATCCAGGTATTCTTCTTCAGTTGATTCAGTTGACTGGATGTTTTAGAAAAACATTCCTGATATTGGGGATAAAAGAGTTTTTAGTTGATTAATTTTGGGTGTTTTTTTAAACATGATTACTAGTAAAGTTTCCAGGCATGGGACTGTGAATCCCTTTTAAGGTGCAGGGTTATAGTATTCAAAATCAATCATGACATAAAATCTTATGTTTGTCATGCAGGATGCTAATGAATATAAGAGAAGGGTTCGCCAGCAAGCCAAGCAATACCCACCTCTGGTCTAGTCTATTGTTATCAAATATTAGCTAAGATTTTCAATGAAATTGCTGGTAAAATGCCAGTTTGGCTTCTTCCTCATGTATAAGACTTGGCTTTTGCTAAGAGAAAATATGCTTCCTTGGGTACTTGGTAATCTGTATAAACTGTATGAACCTGCCTTGCGTTCCAACTCCGTCAGATTTGGATTAATGGTTGTTTTTAACCCTACACTACTGGACTTGTAACTTGAAAGTGAAGCTTGTGTTTCATACACTGTGTTGCGTTGTTTTAGGACTGAATGATGCAGCAAACACAAATCTGCCACCACCATTATGTGTTGGTTGTAAAATTGATGATTTTTAATTTAATGAACAAATAATCAACTAAAACAAATCTAATGCAAGCACTGTTTTGGGTGAAGTAATTGTAAGACTATCTATAAGTCCGTCCTTAATGTTGGAATGTCTTTCTAGATTTTAGTACCATTCATTCCATATCCTCGATATGCTTATACCTGAAGGATTACAAGGCATAAAAATCGAACATAAACATTATGCAAATACCTATACTGTCTTCAAAGTATCATTTAATTTATGTTGTCGGGTTCTCTATAATTAAAGAAGGATCTTTTTGAGCCAGGGAAAAACTATGAATGTTTTATAATGCAAATCTACGATGATTAAAATAAGAGCATTTTGTGATTAGCTTTTAACGGTACTCATTTTCAACCATTTCTTCGTCTTTTCTAAGCAGTTTCTCTCATCTTCCTCTCTAATTTTCCTTTGTCCAAACAAACAAAACCTTAATTTTATCAAATCAAAGATTATTTCATCTTATTTTCATTAAATATCTGCATCAAGATCATCATTTTTATTGTTCATTTTTATCAAGAAAACTAAAAAAGGATTTTTAAGAATAATCTTTTCAAGTTCGTGGAACTTCAAATGATAAGGTTAGTGGTGATTTTAAATGAATATTACTGTTTTTAAATGTGTACAAGTGTTAGATTAAAGATCACAAACATAAAATAATTTTGCATTGAGATTTGACTAATTTTTGAAAGAAAGAAAAAAGAATCCATTATAGATCTTCGATATGAGAATTCAAAGTTTTTTTAATCCAATTTTGATTTAGAAATTCATCGGGAAGTGTCATTTTAATAAAAGTGTCATTGGATAAAGGCTTGGGAATAAATTGACAAGTTTTGGGTTACGAAAAATCGGAGTTCATAAAAATAGGGGATAGGCCGAGTATAGAGAGGTTTTAATAGTTTCTAAAATCTTAAATAAGGCCATTAGAAGTGATAAAACCAAAATCAATCAAGTACATGAAAGAGTTGCTCTTTTTCCCCCCGGTAATTGTAGGCACCATTTAAAGTTAATTAGGGGAAACCATGTTGCCGATAATATAAGATTGTGTTTACTGGAATTTTGGCATTTCAATGAATGATCTTATTTTTCAAGAATCAAAAATTGTAGGAAGTAGGGACTACGATCGTCAAAAATGAGGGAAAGACGATTGCGGAATTAGCAATCGATTAATGACCAATATTGGTGTGCTTTCACGACTTTTCTGCAGTTGTTGCTAAATATTGTGCGGTTATTGAACACCCTTTACCTAAATCGAACCGGTCGGTGATGTTACAATTGACCACGACAAAAATTTCATACTAAATTATGATTTAATTTAATCTTTTAAACTCAGTTATCATCTTTAAGGACTAAGTTGCATTATTTAGAATAATATGAGGGCTTCAAGTACAAGATTTGCTTTCAACTCTAGAAAACAATAACAATTAATCCATGAGCGGTAGGCTAGCGGTTTTGATACTAATGATCAGGTATTAATACTACTGTATATAGATACCAATATTCTTTTGAGCTGTAGTTTTGAATTTTTTTTAAAAATAATAAATATCGATATTCTTTCCCGAGGTACTGATACTGTAGGATGGATATTGATACCAAGTATACCTAAAAAAATTTCAGGTAATTTTCATTTGGCGGGGTATCAATACCCTACAACTTGTACGTCTTATTTATGCATTTTTTTTTTTAATTTTGAAAATTTCGAAATTTGCGTGAATCAACCCAAATCTAAATACAATTTACACAATCCTGATTCATACCTAAAATGTAACATCTAAGTCCAACTGAAACATCACAAACAGATGCATAGATCGATTTAGTGTGTTAAGTATGATATGCAGTATATGCAATTTGCATCGAACATATGCTTCCAAATATGTCTAGACCACATCAAAAGCTGCCACAAACTATGTGAATAACTTTTAAACATTAAAATGAGTTGTATAAGCTAGTTCTTGCCTATAAAATATGACATAATAAGAAAATGATGTGCTTCTTTATGCATCTAAATCATGACACTTGTATATTGATAATTCATTATACAATTTCTTGCACACTTTTAGACTACAATTCATACCAATCCATGCTTACCATATTTCATGCATGTCGTGCTAATTCAACCTATTATTTAACCGTTTAATATACTAACTTCCAAATCATGCGTCCTCGTGATAGAATGCATTTAAGAATACATTAAACACCATAATGAACATACATATGATCTCATACCCACATATCGTACTTGATTTATACGCACAAAAAATGACTCAAACCGCTTAGACCTTCGTACATGCCGCTTTTAAGTGAAGATAACCAACATATTCTTCTGAAGGGCAACATTCTGGCTTATTGTTTGACATAGCTCGAGTCTTAACGATCCTTATATCAAAATTCAGACTATCCATTCAAAACTCTGGTGCCTCTGCCCAGGAGTTCCCATGTGTTGTTTCATGTCTTTTTTTTTTGGGTAAACTATACCAATGGTATTCAATCAAGCCACTTACCGTTAATATTTGATGGAAGTTGTGATGTGACAGTTAATAAAATTAATATAATTATTCATTTATTCACTACTACTTATATATTCTATCAATATAATCATAACTTTAATAAAATAAATAAATTTAATCATCAAATCAAATTGTGCCACATGTCATAGGTACAAAATGTCATGACAAGTGTCATCATCCGATTAGAAAATTAAATTTATTTTAATTAAATAATTAATTTTCTACCATTTAAGGAGTGACACTGCCCTGACCGTCTTTCGGGTGGGCCCAAAATTGGACTTCAACTTGAATGAAATGGTTAGAGTCGCCACCGATCATTTTAAAAACATTTAGGTGGATCAGGCACCATCTTACCTGATTTGCATTTTACCAGAAATGTGTCGGGTTCGGTCAAGGAAGAATTAACACCCTTGAACCACCCTTTCGGTACCGTTTTAATTTGTCGGATGTCTTAATCGCGAAAATTTAAAATTTAATTAAAATTCAAAAAACCCGATTCAAATTGCTTACCTTTGATCGTTTGGAATTACTACTAAAAAAAGGTCAAAATATGTTAAATGATAAAATAAAAATAAATATGAAAACAAATTATTAATATAATAATAATAATAATAATAATAATAATAACAAATAAAGATAAATAAAATTTAGTACAAAGAAAAAATGAAAAAATGAAAAAGGAAAAAAGAAAATAATAATAATAAAAGGGTTAAATTTTGAAAAAAGAAAATAAAAAAAATAAATATTAACAAAACAACTGAAAAAATAAATAAATAAGTAAGAAAAAGGATCAAAATAAAAAAATTTAAAATAACAGTGGCTAAATTAAAACATGCATAAATTCCTAGGCCATTTTCGAATAAAACATAAACTTGAGACTAAAATGTAAACATAATAAATTCAAAATTCAAATTGAAATACTGAAAATCAAATCCAGTGGATAAAATGTAAAGAATACAACTTACAGTGACTACGATTGTAATTTACCCACAGATTCAAAATGCAGAAACCCCACCCAAAAACGAGATGTATTGCCTATGCTATATATATATATATATATATATATATATATATATATATATATATATTTCCCTTAAGCCAAAATGGCTCATTCTTTCCCATTTGTTTCATTTTGAGACGAGAGAAGAGAGAGAGATAGTAAGAGAAAATTCTCTCAACTCTCTTATCGGCCGAATGTTTGGCCACTGCCCGGTGACATCCCCGTCGCGCCCGTCGCCAAAAATAACCCCAAAAGGACCCTCTCGACCCCGAGACCCCAAAATTAACCCTCAAATACCCAAAAACTACCTTACTCGACGTAGATCTAATGAGCCAGTTTTGGTTTTTCATCTTTTTTTTTAGGAAAACGCTTCGTTTTCCGGCACTTCTCCTCCGATGCCGTTCCTCGTTCATTTTGATGAGAAAAAGGCCTCGGCTTTTTCCGTCTTTGTTGGTATTTGGGATGTTTTTTTTGGTTTTATTTGTATGCTATTTATCTCTTTGCTTCAGTTTCCTTGGTTTCGATTGTTGATGTGTTCCGATGTTGGTTCTCTGGTTTTTTGCGTTGCTTCAACGTGGTTGCTTTCGTTCATTGTATTCGATCGTTGTGTTTTTTCTCGATCTGTGTTTATTGTGGTTATTTAGTGAAGGGGTCAATCCCCTTGTTTCGGGCTTACCTTCGTTCACGTGGCTGGAAATACCGGGATGGTGCAGTCCCGATATTCTCGGCCAACCGGTTCTGCTTTGACTGCATGGCTCCCTGACTGTGCGACGTCTTGACACATTGTTGAAACCCTAATCCAAGATTAGGCTGGGTCAGGCCCAAACCCGGTTGGGCAGCTCCTTGACCTGGACCGAATTATTGGACCCTAGACCAAAAAACAATAAAGAAAAATGAGTAAATAAATAAAATTAAATAAATAATATAAAAAATATTAATATAATTTATAATAATTTTTTTAAAATTGTATATCATAGATGCGTTTTCAAAATAATTATTTATAAAATATTTTAAAACTATATATTATATAATTCAAAATATTTTAAAAACTATATATTATATATATATTTTCAAAATGTTTCGAAAATTATATATTATATATATTTTTAAAATGTTTTAAAACTATATATTATATATATTTTTTCAAAATGTTTTAAAAACTATATATTATATATATTTTTAAAATGTTTTAAAAACTATATATTATATATATTTTTCAAAATGTTTTAAAAACTATATATTATATAAGCTTTCAAAATGTTTTAAAAACTATATATTATATATTTTTTTCAAAACTTATGCTACATTAATATATATATATATATAATAATAATAATAATAATAATAATAAATAAAATCCGGACGAAAATGAATGTCTACAGCTGCCCCTC